CAGTAGGTAGGTAGGTAGGGAGAGAGAGAGTAGGTAGATAGGTAGGTAGGTAGAAAAAAAATAAACACACAGAGAGAAATACAGTAGATAGGTAGGGGGAGAGAGAGAGAGAGTAGGTAGATAGGTAGGTAGGTAGAAAAAAAATAAACACACAGAGAGAAATACAGTAGATAGGTAGGGGGAGAGAGAGAGAGAGACGGAGAGAGAAAGTAGGTAGGTTGGTTGGTAGAGGGATAACGAGAGAGAAATAAAGAGAAAGTGAGAGAAATACAGTAGATAGGTAGGGAGAGACGATAGGTAGGTGGAGAGAAATACAGTAGGTAGGGAGAGAGAGAGAGTAGGTAGGTAGGTAGATGTTTCCAGATGTATTTATCCATGTGCTGGAGAAGGAAATCGCTGACAATCAGCAGCACCTAAAACTTTGTTTCTGATGGCACAGTACTTGATCAACGTAATTCTCATCAATCAGTTAAAGTGTTTTTGCACTCTGAAAACCTCCCCAAAACAGCATGAAAATGGACCCGTTTTTTTTTTTTTTAAAAAAAGGCATGAATAGCCTTGGGGGAACTTGCAGAGTGTTCCTGGGGTTGGTGGGGACAAAAATGAACAAAAAAAGGCCATCTTTTGCCAAAACGGGTCCGTTTTTTGTCAATACCTTTATGGTGGCTTATAGAGTGCTGTTGGGGGAGGGGCAAAAAGCCTGGTTTTTGCTGATTTCTGCCCTTCCCAGCCCCCAGGAGCTCTCTAAAAGCCTCCATAAGGGTATGCAAGGCCATTTTGATGAAGGGGGCGGGGCTTCGGGAGGCACAAATTGCTGTATTCAGTGAATAAGATGCACCCAGATTTCAGCCTCTTTTGAGGAAAAAAGGTGCGTCTTATACTCCCAAAATGCGGTAAATAAATGTATATATCTAACTAGTAACTGTTAAATTATAGAAATAAAATATATATTTGTGTTTTTTTAGTTGTAGAACAGCTGTATGCCTTACAGTGGATTGAAGAATTAGCAAACCCATCTGGTCTGCTACTTGAATTTCTTCATAATTCTGAAGTAATGAAAATTTCACATGAAAATTTCTATCTACTCAATAATATTTCCCATCTTTTACAAATATTGTTCAATAGGTAAATATTGAAAGAAAATATGCATTTCTCATAAGGATTTTATTAGAGATTATCTTGATTTTTTTCATTATAAATATATAGTGCCTTTATATAAACAATTCTTACCTAAAATAAATACAAATGATTTTTTTGTATTCATATGTATATAAGCCATGTTAATCTTAGAAATTTTGAATTCTTTGTAGATCAAAAGAGAGCGGACGACTTTGGGCTTTAACCATGGCTAAATTGATAAATGCACAAAACTTTGCACCCTGTGAGATTAAAGCACTTTTTGATTCATCTGAGAGGTATGATAGTTAACTGGGAGTGCATGGAAACTATAATTTTTTGTCCTACTATTACAGTGATTAAATCAAGACAGGAAAAAAAGGCAGTACAAAATGTCTTACATTGCAAACAGAAATTATGTTGCCATCACCATTATTGGTCGCAGTCAGAAGAAACTTTATCCTTTTCTGTAGGGCAGTACATGTGTGAGTGTGTGTATATGTGTATTTTTATATGTGTGTATGTGTATACACAACACACACACATGCATGATAGTAATAGTTGTCTATTGAATCTGAATCTTATATTAACTAATAGGTAACATGCACACATCCCTTCAATTCTCTAATATCCTATATTACTTAAAATTTCTAACCCTAGATCCATAACTTTCAAATAAATGGTGCAGCTGTCCAAAATGTCTTACTTTTTTGAAGTTAAATATGTTTTGTTACTCTTAGAGTTCTGTATATAACAATCTCTGTCATCCTGATTTTTTAAATTTATCAATACAAAAAAAAAATTATATTGATTCCTTGATTTTCTTTTTCTTGTGAACAGCTTTTTCCCATTAACTGAGGGAAACCTGCATACACTTCAGAATCTGTCTACAGTTTTATCTGACGAAGATAAGGAAGAACTTGTCATTAGGTTCACAGCTAAACTAATGACATGTAATGGAACTGATCTCTTCGGTACTGAGGGTCAGTGTCTTAAATAATTTCTACAATGCTACATTGAATTGGAAGAGGTAGGACGTTTAGTGCTCATAACAACATATTTTTGCAATTGATAATTGCAAAACTATTTTAATGGACCTTGTTACTTTACTAGAATAGTCAGTATTCAGTTCTGATCACTAAACATTTTTTTTTGTTTTCTTATTATACTCAAAGACATTTAATAACATTTATTAAACTGATATTTCACACTGTTCAGGAGCATTTGGATATCTTGGCATTTTAAATTCCTGCTTGAATACTCAAGATACTGATTACGGAGAACTAATGGCTGGAATATTGAAGGTCATCGTATCTTGGCGCAGTGATTATGAAGATAGTTTTCTTTTCAGCTGGTGAATTATTTTTCTTATTTTTCAAAGATAATTCATAGAATAACTAAAATAGGTTTGCTCCCACTTGAATTTTATTTATTTCAATCTATGATTTTAGTCCAATAATTGCAAGCTTTTGTATCAGCTTTGACAAACTTGTCCTCTAGAGATATTCTAGCATTTGAATGCATTTTGTTTTAGAAAAGACATTGTGTGTAACAGGAGTAAGAGTGCATCTTAATATACTCTTATTGTTCACAATTATAATGAATGTTAACACCTTTTAAAAAACTTCTAGAATCAATTATTTTATTACATGTATTCATTTTTCTTATTGAAAGCTGCCATTGCAATATAAAACAACTTAATTGCAGTATATACTTTTGTGCTTTGAGAATGTTGGTTTTCACCAAAGAGAAATAGCTTAATATACCTCATAAGACAAGCTGAGCTGTCCATAAATCAGGTACTGTTTGTGAGAGGTCTTGGTGCTCTCTAAGCTTGATTATTTGCTTCTAGATGTTTCTTTACCCAACATCATGTTTTTCTTGGTCGGGTATTGAAACATCTGCAAGCAAACCATTAAGCTAAGAGAGAACCAAGAATTCCACAGTGCAGTGCTGAGCTGCTGATACTTTTTTCTATTGGAAATACATTTTTGTTCTTTGCATTTTTGTTTGCTTTCAACTTTCTCACCTGAATGTTTTCTTTAGTAAATGAAATCTTGAAAGAAAAAAAATTGAAAGTGTTGGTTGTATTGTAATACAAGCATTTGCCCTTTCATTTTAGTTTAGATTCTAAACATATTCTTAATTTTTTGCCTCAGCAATCTACAAGAAACAAATCCACAGCTGCTTGGTTTAAATATAGAAATGATCCGTTTCATTTCTCTGTTGCTGAAGAAGCCTGTCTCCTTATTGGAGAGTGAATGGGATTTTGTCATGTGCTCTATGCTAGCATGGTTAGAAGTAAGTAACAAACATAAAAAGAATGATATAGTTTCTACATTTAAAGAATTTCACATTCCTTGTAGGAAAATTTTAAAATTTGCTATGAAAAATAATAATTTAATTTAATTGTTTACAGACAACCTGTGAAAACCCAGAGGTCTTTCCTGCTGCCCAGGTTCAAGTTTTTGCTTCTGTTAGCTGTGACCTGAGTGCTTCTCTAAGTGCATACTTCCAGGCAACAACTCCTGAAATTGTTGAAAAATTTCCAAAAAATCTCATGTCTGAATGGCAGGAGTTCTTTTCGGAAGGCATTCATAGCTTGCTTTTGCCTCTGTTGGCAAAAATCACCCGTAAGTTTTTGACGGAGGGTAAATACACAGACAGGCAATGTAGAGCCATAACATAAAAATACCTTGACAGGCTATTTAACACGCCAGGATTTTGTTAGTAAATATTTGATTTTAAGATTTGCAGTATAGATTTATATAGGTATATTTTGTGGTTTCTAGGATGATATAAAGAAAAAAATCTGCACATAATTTCAAGATACTACTTTTCCTTCATAGTTTCCATTCTACCATTTGTTTCAGAATTCTTTGAATGCATTTCAGTTTTTCTATTTCACTGGTGGCATCATGTAAAGCTATTATTTTAAATGTACAACTGAATATTATTAATGGCACTTTAGATGAAAATCATTCTTTATAATTTCTACTTGAATATTTGTTATAATAATTTCAGGCTGTGAATTATCTTGTACCTTCTATACAGGAAAAGAACAAGATGTAATGGAAACATCATTTCAGAACTCCATATTGAAATCTTTAGGTAAAGCTTTAACATATATATCAAAGGATCAGTTACTGAACCACAGGCTTCCTGCCAAATTTGTTGCTGGTCAGAAAACAAATCTCCCTGACAATCTACAGACTTTGTTAAATACTTTTTCTCCGTTATTACTCTTCAGAGCTAGACCTGTTCAAATTGCAGTGTACCACATGCTAAACAAGTAAGTTATTTCCAATTTCCTTAGAGCATGCTGTGATCTAGTTCTTTTTAATTTTCTCAGTATAAGAGATACTTTAAAGCTAAGGAATATAGAAGTACTATCACAATAGAATAGTATATATTTTCTATATACTAATAATTTCTTAATCAACCTAGGTTTTGTTTTCAGTGGAAGATAACAGAACTAGTGATTATAACCTCAAGCCTATATAGTTCAGATTTTTTATGAGCTGGATAAGGTAGTACACTATAGAGATATTTACGACTGTAACCTTTTGAGCTTCCTTTAATAACTTCTTCATAGATATGGTATGTATAAAAATTTGCTGGAGGAGGGAGCAAAATTAAAATTGACTTCTAGTTCATTGTACTCTGAAAGTACACTGATTGTATTCTAGATATGTACAATATGAATCTTATAGGCACCAGTGTGACTCAGTTAGTCATCTTGGCCATTGCGTTCCTTGACCTGCCTGGTTTATTTTTCATTCAATAAGAATCTGGCATTCTTCAAAGCCAAACATAAGCATCTAATCTAATATGTATCAGCAGATATATCTTTCTACCTGATAGAAATCCCCACCTCCTGGAATGTAAATAGTATCTAAAATGACTGGTGAATTGGTAGTTTGCGACTGGCCCTGCTCACCAAGGCAACTATTTGATAAAAAACCAAGTTTGTCAGTGTAGTCTTTTAATGACTGGGTCTATCATATACCAAAAATTAATGTTTTAATATGAAATCATTTTATTATGATTACTTCTCAAAGTCAGATAAATATTTATGCTATAAAAATGTAAATAGGTTCTTCTCATTTCTTTATTTCATATTCTAGGTTAATGTCTGATTTACCTAAATTTGACAACGTGGATCTCAGATCTTATGGTGATGAAGAAGAGGAATTATTATTGTATGTTTCATTTTATATTTACGATGATTTATAGAGCTCCTTATCTGGATGACTTTCGGTCAGTCACTCTCTCCCAGCCCATCCCACTCATAGGATTGTTGTTGTGGGGAAAATAGGAGAAGGGAGATATGTTGGATATGTTCACCACATTGAGTTATTTGTAAAAATGATAAAGATGAGATACAAATAAATACATAAATAGTTTCAACTATTTGCCTTGAGGCATTTGTAAAACTAATAAAAATAAGATACAAATAAATCAGTACCATATTTTCCCCAAAATAAGACCGGTCTTATTTTCTTTTGGGTCCCAAAATAAGCACTAGGGCTTATTTTGGTGGATGTCTTATTTTTTTCCCATGTACAAGAGGCCACTGCTTCTGCTTTCTCATGTGGAAGCAGGGAGCCATGTGGTGTGCTACTGCCATCACCACAAGGCAGGGCAGTGGAATTCTCTCACGCAGCCCACACANGGAGATGAATAGATGTGGCAGGCAGCTATTCCTCTCCCTGCTGGATGGACTTGTTAGCCTGTTGCGAGAGAGAAACATTTTGCTGCGGCTGCTGGCACTCCTAATAAAGTAATATTTGAGTTAACTTCAGAGGGTTTGTCGTGTTTGGGGAACTGGGTCAGAACAAGCTGACTAGTACACAGTCAAGCAGAAGAGCTCCATTACTTCTAGACATTCATGTTATAAATAGCCATTCTTACCCTAAAATGTAACATAAACAATGTTTGAATATTGATAATGTTTTCAAATTTGTTGACCAAAACAATTAATTATAATTTGTCTTACCAGGTCAGTAATTACTGGCTGAATGTGAACACTATTTTCTCTAGCTGTCTCTACTGTGCATAGACCAGCCACAGGGTTGATATCAGTACACCTGTATGCACAAAATTATATTTTAGTAAACAGAAGCTATCTTTGGTTACCTTAGAAAATAATTGGTCAAATATAATTTTGATCAGATATTTGATTGCACTGCCATCTTGAGTTTTCTGATGCCTTCCACAGATACCCCCCGTTTCTTGAAATACGCAAGTCCTTGGTTAACAACCACTTGTTCAGTGATCAAGAGGCATGGTTTCGTATGCTGCCTGCATCTCACGGATAACACTTTTCTTATCTGCACAGTCTGGTTTCTGGCATACTGCAGACCAATACAGTCTGCAGACCAGGGGTTGGGGACTCCTGATTTGCAACAGCACTAAAAATTGGAAATTATGACTGATTTTCAAAGTTCCAACCATCTGATTCAGTGTAATGCCTTTTATGTGCTATACCTTAAATGTACACGACTGCATGTCAGAAAGTGCTACTGTATACATATGGAGGACACATTAAAGCAGATAAATATTGGTTTCTAAAACAACAGTGAAACACAAGCAACAGTTCTTAACTGAGCCATTATCTTGTAGAACTGTCAGATATACTATTTAACACCAAATTGTATTTCTTTTATCTAATGTTTTTTCCTGAGTGAATAATTATATCATTGACATAATCCAAATTTACATTTAATAATAGTTCATATTCACATTCCAAAGATTATGCTGCATTATTTAAATAACAAAAATTATGCATCAGAAGCACCTTATTTCTTGCTTACTTATATAATTCAACTGGCATATAAATACTTACATGTAAAATGCTTTGGATCCAACAATTGAAGCTAAAAAAGTTGAAACTACTCCAGATCCAGATCCTACTTCAAGGCATATATCAATGCTAAATGAATAATAGTTCAGAGATTAAAATGAGAATTACAATGTAACATGCAAAACATACATGGTTTAATGTATACATTTTTGAACTGTCAGTTTTCAAATTAAAAATTAGATCCAGAAGTCAATGAATAATGTCAGTTATAAGTTTAATAAATGTAATCTGAAACTCTAAAATAATTACAAGATCCAATCTGGGTCAGTCAACCTCTGGTTCCAGTGACTGACTCAGATTGAATTTTGCAACATTATCCTGGGACAAGTATGGAATAAGAGCTGAGGTGGCGCAGTGGTTAGGGTGCTGTATTGCAGGCCACTTCAGCTGACTGTTATCTGCAGTTCAGCGGTTCAA